AAAGTTCTGGATTTTCAGTTGTTAAATAAGAACCCAGATAGACTAGGGGCTTTCCTGTCCTTCCTTCTCCGAAGGCAAAACATGGCTTTTTATCATCTTCTGGTCTGAAACCTACTCCCTATTCTGATGTGGGTGAAGTATTTCAATTTCTCCCCTCCCAGAGGCATTAGGAAGACCTTCCTGACAGTGACACAGATTCTAGCAGCCCAGCCCAGCCCCCTGCCCTGGGCAGAGACCCCCACTTAATGGTCCCTCAGTCTGCCCACCAACCTGGTTTTGAAGGCCTCTGGTAGCTAGCTTCCCGTCTGCTCCCACCCTTCTCCAGGCCTCTTTCAGGGCGCTAGGCCACAGGGACCCACTTCAAGGATACCTGCCCCTTCCCCAGAAACCACATTTGCAGGGCAGTGCCTCCTCCCCACAGCCTGCCAGCCTGCAGACAGGAAGCCTGGGTCCGGCCAGGCAGGCCATTCCCCACTAAGTCAAATGGGGACACAGTGGTAGCTGCAGCTGCTCACCACACAGGACCATGGAGGGCTGGGAACTTCTAACCACAGCGAGAGGGGGAAGAGGCCAAGACCAGTGAGAGGCCACCTGCCTCAAACACACCCCCTCTAACTCCAACTGAAGAAATGCTCAGAATAATCTCCAGTTCAGAAAAAAAAAAAAAAAAAAGATGGGGGTGCCTACGGATTATGAGACTCTAGACGGATGGATAGATAGAGGGGCAGTCGTGATAAAGTAAGCACAGCTTAAGAATATCAGAATCTTGTGGTGGGTATACAGGTGTTCACCGAAACATTCTTTTAATTTGGCTGTTATATTTGAAATTTTCATAATAAAATATTGAGGGGGAAAAAAAGGGACACTCGAGCCGTTAACCAAATACAATGTGTAGCCTTATTTGGATCCTGATTCTAGCAAATGAACTGTAAAGTTAAATCATTAGATCTTGGTGGGGGGAGTTGTGATAATGGTATGGTGGTTTTGCTTTTCAAAAGAGCTCTTCTTCGGCAAAAAAAGAAAGGATCATATGATTGATTACATTAAAATAGAAAGCTGCAAAAAAACAACAAAAAAAATGAAATTTCAACCTATTAATCTAAACCATCATCCTATCTCACACCAAATCATCCTGTCCATGACATTCTAAGAGACTTCCTAAAATCCTGATTTATCTCTAGAATTCCTTTTGTGTAGCAGACATCTAATCTTAATTAAGAGAAATGATTTTTCCCCCATTTTTTTAGGCTCCCATGCTGTCTCCTGATAGTCACAACTTCTTCTTCTTTTTTTTTTTTTTTTAAGTAAGTTTGTAAAATATTTATTTATTTTTGAAAGAGAGACATAGCACAAGCCAGGGAGGGGAAGAGAGAGAGAGGGAGACACAGAATCCGAAGCAGGCTCCAGGCTGTGAGCTGTCAGGACAGCCCCAACCAGGACAGCTGGAACCACGAGATTATGACCTGAGCCAAAGTCAGATGCTCCAATGATTGAGCCACTCAGGCACCCCTCCACTTCTTTATGTATGTGCTTACACACCACAGTAAATAAATTAAAAAAAAAAAAAAAAGAAACAAGAGTTCTTATTAATAAGTACCTACTATGATATTCAGTGTGGGGAAGACATCGGTTGGGGTAGTTCATGAGTTCATGATCACTGAGGCTGGTTAATGGATACATGGGATCCATTCTTCAGCTTTTTTGATGTTTTGGAAATTTTTCATAATATTCTTTTCTTTTTCTTTGACCACTTGGATGGGCTCTTTGTTTTTACATGAACAAACTCCAGCACAGCCAGCTACACTCTGGGGTTCCCCTGCTCCATCCTGGCCCAACCTAAACCGGATGTGAGTTTGAAAGAAAATGTACAAACAGTGGCAGCCACCTTCCCCCTGATAGTGGGTGGTGGGGAGCAGCCTCCCCTGATAGGAGAGGGGCCCCTCTGCCTGAGATTCTTCTGACCCTTCACTCCCACCAGATTCTACAAAGGCCCCCACAGCCAGTCTTCCCCTGCTGCCCCCAGGACTGAAGTAGATGCTCTGGGAGCAATTTTTTGTTTCTGTAGGAAACCTTGCAGAGATAGCCGGGCTCAGGCCCTCAGTCGATAAAATGGGATGCAACTGGGGTTTGCCTCCCCCTCCATACATTCCCTCCCTCTCCCAAAAGAAGTAACTGTTGAAGCTTCTGGTCACTGATGGTACGAGTGTAACAGGCCAAGTAGGACATTAAGAATCTCTCTCCTGGGCTGGAGGGGGGCAGTGCCTATACCACTCTAAAAAAACAGGCCCTCAATCCCTTGAGTGACCAAGGAACCCTGCAGAGGGAAAACCAGAAAAAGCAGACAATCCAAAAATTGCTCTACACTTGGGTTTTAGGACTCCTCTGTTTTCCTAGTGTGCACCTGTGTGTGCGCCTGCCTGGGTGTTGGGACAGTGTATCCAGATTTAACAGGGGGAGAGAAATCACTCATAGAACCAAACCCCAATGCCTGCCTCAGTCTCCCTCCTTTTGTCCCCATGGTGAAGCCAAGCCAGGCCCTTGAACCCAGCCCCCACCTTCCCTAGCAGTAGACTTGGTGGCAGGAACTTAGGCTTTCACACAGGCTCTGCCACATACACATTACATGACCTTTCTGGGCCTTGGGGTCCCTATGTGTAAAATGGAGACAATAACTCCTTCTCTACCCACAAGGTTGTTGATAAGAATTAAAAAAAAATAGGGAAAGCACTTTATAACCATACTATACCACTTATAAATTATGTGATACCAGTGTTTCCCAATAATGCCTCATAGAATATGGTCAAGGCAAGTTTGAGAAATGTGCTATTTATACTCCAACCTTGGCTTATACATCACAGGCAGGTGAGCATATTAAAGGCTCTGAAAAGTCCTACAGTGGAAGGAAAAAAAAAAAGTCTGTATAACAATATTGAATCTATTAGGTCCAATTTCTTTAATTTTCGGCTCCCTAAACTTGTTCCTCTTGAGATACCAATTATCAATTACATAACCTTCTTGAGACCTCCACATAGCAGTTTAAGAAACTGGACTCAAGGGGCGCCTAGGTGGTTCAGTCCATTAAAGGCCTGACTTCGGCTCAGGTCATGATCTCACAGTTCATGGGATCGAGCCCCGCATCGGGCACTGTGCTGACATCTCAGAGCCTGGAGCCTGCTTTGAATTGTCTCCCTCTCTGTCTGCCCCCTCCCCCACTTCTATGTCTCTCTGCCTCTCAAAAATAAATAAATGTTAAAAAAAAAAAAACCTTTTTTAAAAAAGAAACTGGACTCGAGGAGGTTGGGTTCCTATCTTGGTCCAGCATGTTTCTCTGTGGGGCCCACTTTACTCATATTCCCATAACTCACCCAGGCCCCAGTGCCCTCTGTGTAGGTCCATATCCACTCCCACTCTTGGAAGCCCCACCCCACCACATCGCCCCATGCGGGGGCAGAAGAAAACCTGCAATTTCTCTATTCTGCCCTGGAAGAGCAGGGCCCACCAGCTCCTCCCATACATGCACCTATTGCTCTGGTCAGTCCCCTCACTGCTGAGCCCACACCCATCTCAAAGCCTCAACCTGACCGTCCGTCCGTGTCACCTGGGCCTCTCAGTGTCCTTCTATCCTTCCTCCTTGATGGGCAAACGCACTCTGCTCTTCCCAATACCCGTCGGAGGCCAGCGCATTCTGCGGCTCCCCCAAAACTTCTCTGAGCTCCACCATCTACTGCACGACTGTCCTCTGGTCACTCCTCTGCCTCCTCGTCCATTTTGGCAACTCCTCAGGCTCAGATTTTGTGCTACATCTCATTAAAGGCAACAGTGCAAGAGGTAAGGATATACTCAGAAGCCCAAGTTCAAATCCTGGCTCTAACCCTTATTGATTGGATGATCAAGTTTTTTAAACTTTGGGGGCCTGCTTTCAGTATCTGCAAGCAGAGCAAACAAAAGTGCAGGCTTCATGGGGTTGTTGGGAGGAACTGAGTTGACTGAAGTGCTTGGGCAGTGTCTGGCACACAGTGAGTGCTGGGTAAGTGGTAGCTGCTATTATTATTACTATTATTATCATCATCACCACCACCACCACTGTCTCCCCCACAGAACCTTTCACAGGCTGGGCAGTCTTTAAACCTCTTCATATCTGCATTCATTGACTCCCTGCCTCCTTCCACAGGGCTCTAATCTGGTTGCGCACAGAGAGGGCTCCGGGAAGGCTCTCCAGGCTCAGCTGAGGGCACCAGGAACACGATTTCAGGTTGGAGACTGGGGCGGGGTGTTCCCCTCCCGTCCCCTCCCCGAGACTGCCACATCAGGGTGCCTTCCCACCCCAGCACAAGAGCCCAGCCCAGCCAAACCAGCCCCACTGCCAAAGCTAGGGCTAGATGGGTCCTGAGTCCAACCACAGATGAGGACACTGAGGTTTACCGGGCCACTTTCTTGCTTCACCACCCTATCTCGGAGCTCGCCAACCCCTCCAACCTTGTCTGCTGTGGACAGAGCTCAGCTGTCAACTGGACCTGGGGGAAAGAAGTGGAGGGCGGGGAGACACACACAGCCTTCACCTGATGGAGTTTAGGACCGGATGCGGGGTGAAGGGACGGTGCAAGAGTCCAGCCCTTGCCCCGAGCTGAGTCGTGTCGACACCACCATTTCACGGTAGACGGAGTTGCCCACATGATCCCAAAGGACAGAGAGCAAGAGCAGTCTCTCTCTCTCTCTGTCTCTCTCTGCCCCAAAGTTCCCAAACCTGCAAGTGGTTTTTCTCCTGGGGCATAAGAACGTTCCTAATTACCCTGGTTGCTCCTAACACCAGCACTACAGGAAGGGTAATACCGAAGGCGGCCGTTGGCGGCCGGGAGGCAGTCGGGGCCCGCTTCCTGGAGGAGGCGGTGCATTTCGCGCGCTGGGTACTCGTGAGCCAGCCCCTTCCCTCACTCACCAGCGTCCAGAGAGGTGAACACGGCGCTCGGGTTGGTTCGCCGGCTGCCTCCGCCGCCGGGCACTACCAGCGTCTGCAGCTGCCGGACCAGCTCGGGCATGCGGTCCCAGTGGCCCTCCGCGCGGCAGCGCTCCAGCTCGCTCTCCATCTTCAGGTGGGAGCCGTGCGCGCCCTTCGCAGCCATCTTCGCGCGGGCGCTGTCATGGGAGGTGCGGCCGAGAAGTGGAGACCCGGCCGGGGGCGGCGTCCCGGCTGGGGCGCACACGCGGGCGGGGGCGGCGGGGACGCGGGCGGCGGTCGGGGCCCGGGCGGCAACGGGGGCCCGGGCGGCGGCGGCCGGGAGGCGGCAGCAGCAGCACCCAGAGCACCGCCCGGCGCCTCCGGACTGGGGCTCCGGCTGAGCGGCCCCGACGCGCCCAGGAGCAACCTCCGCCTCTGCTGCAGCAGCTCCCGGCGGTGCCGCCGCCGCCGCAGCTGCAGCTGCTGCCACAGCCCCCGCCCCGGGTCCCGGCGCCGCCAAGCGCGAACCCGCCCCTGGCCGCGGCTCCACCTCCGCGGGGGCGTGGCGCGGCCTCGGCGAGCCCGGCGCGCAGGCGGCCAGCGCGGCCCCAGCAGCCAGGCGCACGAGGAGCGCTCGCGGCAAGCCCTGCGCCAGCGCCAGGTCCCCGCCGCCGCCGTCGCCGCCGACTCGGCGCTCACTTTAATGCTGCGCTGGGCCCCCGCGCCCGGGGGCGCCTCGCTCCCCGCCCCCTTCCCATCCCATCGGGGCTCTTGGCCTGGGGGCTCCCTGCCCCGACACCCCGGCTTTGTGTGTTGGCTTCGTCACCACCGCCGCACGTCACAAATCCGGGGAGACGCCGGCCGGCCGGTCGCTCCCACCTTCGAGAGCGAGCCTCCCCGGGAGCGGGCCCCGCAGGGACGCTCTGCGCGCGTGTTCGGACAGGCGTGTTGCGGGGCGGAACTGGCTGGATAGGAGCCCCTCGACTCCCTGGGCGTCTGCACTCCGAGACTTCTCATTTTCTTTTCTTCCTTCCTTCCTTCCTTCCTTCCTTCCTTCCTTCCTTCCTTCCTTCCTTCCTTCTTTCCTTCCTTCCTTCTTTCCTTCCTTCCTTCTTTCCTTCCTTCTTTCCTTCTTTCCTTCTTTCCTTCCTTCCTTCTTTCCTTCCTTCCTTCTTTCCTTCCTTCCTTCTTTCCTTCCTTCTTTCCTTCCTTCTTTCTTTCTTTTCTTTTCTTTCTTCTTTTTTTTTTTTAACAGCGGAGTTCCTCTTTCCAACTTGACAACCCCGCACGAGTTGGCTGGCGTGTCCTCTGTGGAATCCCGTTACCCTGGAGTTCTTAAAGGTTTTAAGCTGTTTTCTAACTTGGTATTTTTTTCTTCTGGTGTCTCAACACTGTAATCAAAACTCACAGCATGGCTTAGCTTGGCTTTGTGGGGTGCTCAGAGGTTCAAGGGATCACAAGGTGGCCTGAAGGCGGAGGGACTGGTTAGGGTGGCCCTGCCTCGGGGGCGGTTTACAGTGGGGATTGAGGCCATCATGCAAGAAATGACGGTGAGACAAAAAAAAAAAAAAACTCCCTTGAATGTAAGCGACATATTGCACAGTGCAGATCTAAGACTCCAGAACACAGGAGAGTCAGGACACACTTTGAAGTGTAGTATAGACTCCTAAGAGTTAAGTGTCCACTTGTTTTTTTTTTCCTGCTGCAACACGAAGGGCTTCACCACTGCCTGACACGCGGCTGTGAGAGTGCACCTGACCACTTTCAGTGTTAGCAGACTCAGCCCTTCTGCTTCTGGATAACTGTAACCGTGGTAAGGTGTTTTGCCAAGCAGAGCCTGGGCCCCAGGTGCTTAGTGCCACCAGCCCTTTGCTACCTGGGGTTGTCTGCGCAATGCCATCTTCTGCTCCCCGCCACTCCAACCCCACAACTCCAAGATGGAGACTCTCCTTTCCAGGTTCCAGATGCAGCTCCATTCTATGCTTGGGGACAGCATTTCCCGAACTTGGGAGCATCTGGGGTCTGTTCTGGACTCCTAGAGGCCAGAAAGTAGGTGCAGAAAACAGGGACAGCTCCTGCCCTTGGAATTTAGGGACTCTCTACTCCATTTACACAAAAGCTGTGCCTACTCTTGTCACCTCCGCTAGTTGGCATCTGGTTAGCCTTTGGCTGCCCTTGCTGGTCCCCGGAACCGCCTTTCACTTGGAGAGAGCTGTGCATGTTCTTTGGATGAGGGTGGCCTGAGAACACCCTGTGATAAGCCCCAGGGTCAGCCCTGCAGCAGGCGGAGGACAGCAGAGCTGAGGACAGAAGGCAGCCCTGATGGAAATACGGAAACGTCCCCTCCTCCCTTTTTTCTCCCTAATCCTTTGCCAACCCTGCCCCCAGGTTGCAGGACTCCAGGGAACTAACTGGAGAATTACTGCTTGTTCATTTGACTCAAGCACCAAGATTTGTGTGGGCATGGCGCAGGGGGGAGAGGAACACAGTACTGTGGTCAGAAGTTCTAACAAGCTGTTCCTCAGCACTGCAACCAATTCCTGACCCCTCTGTGGTTCTTTTCTCGCAGAGACAAGCCCCTAGCCTGCTAGTGACCCGCATTTTTTTTTTTCAGGAGAGTAAGAGACTGTAGGAACAAGAGCAAAGAGCAACCACGATTGTTATTAGTAATGTTTGCCAAAATAAAAGGCATGTAGGAAGCGTGGCGGTTGTTTTTATTTTTTAATAATCTGAAATCTCTCAGAGGAAAGTTTAGGGCGAGTTCTGATAAAGATTGCCATTTTTTTGCCAACTGGAGAATGCTGTAAAAATCTCTTGCCGATCGGGAGAAGCTGGGTTGGCTGCTTAGCAGAGTGAGGGAGAGCACTGCCTGACAGTCCTGGCATCTCAGAGAAGGTATTGAAGTTCACAGGAGGTAAACCAACCTGCCCAGAAATGTGTAATTTTACGGAGCAACAAAGACAGGTACCAAGCAAAGGACCTCTACCCGCAGACTGACGGGAGATTCCACTAGTTCAGGGGCTGACTCCCTCTAGGTAGGGAGGCTCTTACCGCTGGATCACAAGAGAAGCTGTAGTTAGCTCTTGGTCTCAATTCTCATGAACTTATGGCCTTAGAAAGATCTCTCATGTACTTATAGGTTGAAGGTTTATGCTTTTCGGTTAGGCCCAGAATGGGAGGGTGTTGAAGAGCTAATCTGAACTCACAAAAAGTCTGTTCATGTTTGGGTTCCCAGAGAAAAGGTTTGGTCAGCAAGGACTTGGATAGGTTAAATAATGGCATGGAGATTTCAGAAAAGTTGGGGCTGTATGGCCTGCAGTAGCCATTGAGACCCAGGGATCCTCATAATTGTCTTAGAGATTGGCCAGAAACACCTTGCACAGCTGGTTGTCTGGAGTAAGGGATTTTCCTCCATGGGATATCTTTTGTCTTGGGTAGTGCACTTCCTTTGACAAACTGTCAGCTTTTCTATAGAACCCTTGTGCCCTCTCTGAGCTAAAAGAAAGCAGTAGATGAATCAGCCTTAGAGCTCACCTCATCGTTGGAACACAGCAAAAGATTGTCCACACATTGAATAAGAATAGAATTACAGGGCAGTGGAAAGCTCTTGAGGTTCTGATTGAGGACTTGTGAAATGTAGGAGGGGACCTCAGTAAACTGAGGCACAGTGGTCCAGATAACTATCTTTGATTTTCTCTGGAGAAGACACACAAGTATTGACTTGATTTACAGAGAAACCGAAGTGTAGATCTACAACTGTAAAACACATAGTCAGTCTCTTTAGGACTTGAAGATAGAATAGTAGTGTATTTGAGTTTGATCTTAAAGGGAAGCAGCAAGTGACCAATTTATTTGTGGCCCTGGGGTCCTAAGCGAATCTATATATTCCTGCCCACTGGGTTTTTCAACTGAGGATAGGTGCATGTTACAAGGACTGGGACAAGGTATGAGACTCCTTTCTCTTTAAGTCTTTTTTTTTTTTTTTTTTAGTTTTGAAGGCTTTTGATTATTAGTTTTATTCCTTCTTTATCCCCTTGTTTTAGAGGCTATTATGCAAGTTTGGGTAGAGATTTAACCTTGATGGGTTTAGCTCCAGTAGAATATCAGTAGAAGTTTTGCTGTTAAGAGGGCTGCAGTCTCTGCCTGGTTTATACACAAAAGTGCTGGTAAATCATATCCAAATGAGCCAGGATCTTATTATGAAAAGGGAGGTCCTCGGGGTCCAGAAGGAAGAGACCATCAGGAGAGCACCTAATGTAGTAGTGGCATATTAGCACAGTAAATCCCTTGCTATTAAGTTAATGAGTGTGGTGTCCCAAAAGTTAAAAGAACATTCCTTGGCTAAAGGTTTGAGGCTGATGGTTATGGGCTGGGGCTTAGGGAAGGCATAGTGAAGATAGATGTGTGACCAGAGTAGTTTGTTGGCTCCAAGGAAAAGGCTGTGTAATAGTGTTTGGGTTTAAGATTAGTATTATTATGCCTATATCAATAAAACATTTGTAAGGCTGTCCTTTAATTTTTAGAGAAATGTTTCATAGTGGGTTTAAGAGTAGAATGAGAGGAGCGCCTGGGTGGCTCAGTCACTTAAGTTTCCAACTTCAGCTCAGGTCGTGATCTCCTGGTTTGGGAGTTCAAGCCCCGCGTTGGGCTCTGCTGACAGCTCAGAGCCTGGAGCCTGAATCTGTGTCTCCTTTGCAGATTCTGTGTCTCTTTCTCTCTCTGTCCCTTCCCTGCTCATACTCCGACTCTCTCTCTCTCAAAAATAAAGAAAACAATTAAAAAGTTTTTTCAAAAGAACAGAATGAGAAACGAAACACCTTCATTGGTATCTTTGTTGTTGTTTAGTTTCTTAGTTTTAGAACTCTTGACAAATATTCAGCCAAGTATTGGAGGTCTGGGCTTGGGGCTATTTCCCATCCTACTTTTTGCTGGCATATTATGACTTCTCTATGTATGATTCAAGGCCATTCACGAAAAGAGAATGAGCCAGGGTCATGTCTGCTTCAGGATCTACTCCTGCATGCAGTTGCTGGGTATGAACCTTCCCTGAAGTCTCCATCAGACTTCTCCTTTTTGGTTTGAAGAACTGAACCAGAGCGCAGTCTATTTTTACCCAAAATACAGAGGATAGCCTCCAAAGGCCTTGACCAAATCTCCAGCTTTTATAAACCCCAAGGATTTCCTATGCCAATGAAGGCTGTTTAAGTTACCATTGGGTCTTCCCATTCTGACTTTTTCATTGAACTCCATGCATCTGAAGTTCCTACTAGCATCCGAAGGGATTAGTATCTAGGTGGCTGCTCTGGGCTATGTGTCCCTCAAATGATTCTAAATTCCTCAGCCATGTTTTCTCTCTCGTTTAGGCTTTGCAGAGTCTCTGACAATGACTTTCAGCAGAGAATGAAACCAGAGCTTAAAATCCACCGTAAGAGATTTTCTCTGTCCTGCAGGAGGTTTACTTTAAAGAGGTAAGTGAGCGGGGCGCCTGGGTGGCTTAGTCGGTTAAGCGTCCGACTTTCGCTTAGGTCATGATCTCACGGTTCGTGGGTTCGAGCCCCGCGTCGGGCTCTATGCTGACTGCCAGCCTGGAGCCTGTTTCAGTCTTCAGTCTGTGACTCCCTCTCTCTCTGATCCTCCCCTGCTCACGCTGTCTCTCTCTCTCTCTCCCCCTCTCTCCCCCTCCCTCCTAGAAATAGAATAAAAATATTAAAAAAAAAAAGAGGTAAGTGAGCTTTGGGGTAGCTAGCTGGCCAGCAAGGAGGGGCAGTGCGTCAGGGGAGGACACAGAGGAGTAGCAGGAGATGGAGGAGCATAGCATGGGGGAAGAAGAAAGTAGGCTTGAGTTGTGGTTTGGGAAATCTAAAAAATAGTTTTAACATGTTCGCATTTTTCTTTTGCTTTGGCCAAGCAGTCCATGAAGGAAGTGATTTTTGAACCTGGTTTCTTTTGGATGCTTCCTCATGCTAAAGAAAAATAATGAAGACCATTGGATGCTTAGAATTGTGCTGCCTTTACATTCTTCGGCACCTCTCCAGTGAATAACTTTGTTCATATCGAAACTTCCTCATAGTGGCACTGTAATTCTAAATTATCCTTGGTGAAATGATGCTATTTAGAAAGATAAGTGCACAAATTTGGGTACAGCATAAATACACGGAAGGCATGGACTGAGGTTTATTCCAAGACAGAGCCTTGAAGGCCTGGGGATGATCAGTCAAGAGTTCCTTGTGCATCCTCTGGCTCAGAGCCCCCCAGCCTCACAGCTAGACCTTATCCAACCACAACTCTGATGAATTTATACTTTCTGGCAGATAGAAGGTGTGGAGACATCTTTGCTGAACCTCAAAGCAAGTCTGAGCAAAGTTCTCATTAAGTGGTCCAAGACCAAATTTGTCCCCGGGCCAGGTTAGGGGCATACTTATTGGGTCCCATATCTGTCCTTACAACTATAAACTTTGCTCTGATTGATGCACAACCAAAAATGACGAGGATGGACATAGACAATAGGGATCTATATATCATATAGACAATAATATTATGAATTACTATGAACAATAAGGCAGCTATCTACCAAGGTGAAAAGATGTTCAAATATGGTCAGATAATCAAAAGATTCCCGAAAGGGGTTCCTTATCACTGGAGACAAATAGACTGTATACTTGGGGAACTCAAGCCCAGTGCAAGACTTAACATCTCTCGTTGCTGTGGTCTAAAAGACTCCTGAGGGGCTGGAGGGCCTTGGAGGAGCACACTTTCTGAGTCGGGGTCTTGGCCACAGTGGCAAGGAGGTCTCAGTGGGCCTTGTAATTGAATAATTGCTGCTCCCTGAAAATATCCTCGAAACAAATTTGTGAGAATGCAAAGCTGCGTTCTGATCGCAGGAAGGAAAACACCTGTGCAAAGTCATAGTCGCATCTGTACTAGGGAGGCCATGGCAGGATATTTATAAAGTGTTGGGTCTATTTGAAGGCAGCTTTTCTAATGAGGGGCTTGATGAGGACTGGGCAAGAGTCATGAGAACAGTAGTTGAGGATCGATGGACAGGGCGAGGTGAGGGTTTTGAAACAAGGGTTTCAAGGAGTCTTAGAGAATAAACAGTGGTTGGATGCAATCTATCGAAAAGTTGCGAAGTTCATTCAAGGTTACTTCTTGAAATTTCTGCAAAAACAATAGTTACTTACAACTGTTATCATCACGGGAAGAAACTTCCTATATAATAAAAAGGTTGTGTCAACATCAACAGTAAGCTGGGTGCAGGTGGTTTTGATTCTTCCTGTGTACTCATGCAGAAAGGGATTATGTATGATTATTACCAGAGCCCCTCCCCCCATCAAATCACTCTTGTTTATACTAACTGTCACAGTGCTGGGAGTAATTAGGCCATCCAGACATGGGAACCGCCTGATGGGAGATGTCCTTCCCACCTTCTGTTCCTCTCTTCTCTCATACTCTTGTATTTGCTATTCAGGGCCCCCCAGAGCCCTGTGTTCCCAACAGGAACCCTAAAAACCCTAAATTTGAATACAGTTAAACCTTTCCTTCATAGCCAAGAGTGCTTTCATGCACTCAGATCATCAGTATGTATGACCCAGAGCCTGCCCAATCTTCTTGTAGACCCATGCCCCACAGTTCTTACATTTGAAAATCAGCTTTTACTTATGACCATGGTTGTTGGCTCACAGCATTTCTGGCCCCTGGTGTCTCCTCTCTTACTTAATGATCAGTACTGTGGACTGGCCAGCTGAACCGGCCCTCCTAGAACACTGCCATGAACACTCTGCCAGGAGGTGGCTGTATGGTCAGTCTTTCCCTTTGACAGCTGCCAGCAAAACTGCAGGTAATCATTAGGTGAGGGATGCGGTGCTACAAAGGCAAGCTTCAAAACCATGAATTCTTTGTGCTTGTGCATAGTGGGCACTCAGTAATTACTTATTATGTTAATTTTGGAATCCTATAATATTAAAGGTTTTCCCAGGCCTGGGAGATGAGAGCTCTGGGGTGTCTCCTATCCACCCCGCCCCACCCCGCCGCCCATTTCATGGTTGAGATACTAGCATGTTCTTCCATGCATTGACTTCCTCCCATCATCTGGCTCCCTTCTGTTCCCCCGGGGTCCCAGGTGACTCCTGCTTCTCCTCCGTGGCTTCTGTGTCATCTTGCAGGACTGCTGCAATGGTGCCCACCCGAGAGTGGGGGTTCACACTTTTCTCCCAGCCTTTGCCAGTGCTGATTCTTTGCCCAGATACTGCTATCCTGGAGGAGAGAAGTCAGTCCAACCCAGAAACAGTGAGAGCCTTTCAGTTCATGTTAGGTGGTCTGATTTTAAGTTCCACCACTCCTAAGGCCAACTTGTGTATCTGTCCTTCAATGATGATAGCAGTTTTAGGCCTTAAAACATAGCTTTGCTTTCTGTGCTTTCAAATCTTTTTTTCTTTTCTACCTTTTAAAAAACATTTTTGTTTTAATAGCATTTTTGCTGAATAGCAAACAAATAACACAGAGGAAGTTACATAAAATACAATTGTTATGAAGCACTTTCATTAACCTAGAAAGAAATCAGATTTTACCAGCATCCCAGAAGTCCCCAATATATATCCCTTCCCAAGTACAACCTCTTCCTCCTAAATGTAACTGTTGGCCTTTTATGGCAATTATTCCATTGCTTTCTTTCCTCCATCCTCCACTATCTTCCTCACTTCTTTCCTTCTTCCTTCCTTTCTTCCTTTTATTTTTAAAGTTTATTTTGAGACAGAGGGAATGAGCAGGAGAAGGGCAGAGAGAGAGGAAGAGAAAGAATCTCAAGCAGATTCTGCCCTGTCAGCGCAGAGCCCGACATGGGGCTTAATCCCATGAACCGTGAGATCATGACCTGAGCTGAAATCAAGAGTTGGATACTCAACTGAGCCACCCAGGCTCCCCCTTCCTTCCTTTCTTATTAAAGTATGATTGACATACCATGTTATATGAGTTCTGGTGTACAACATATTAATTTTACTTCATCCTCTGGTGAAGTGTATCCAATTTAGAAAGACCCTTTCAATCCTGGGATGTTAAAAGTTTGTGTTTTATTTAATGATGATTAAAGTTGAATTTTACAATTTTTTTTTCACTTATTGAGCTAGCCATATGATTTTTCTCCTTCAAATCTATTTATACGGTGAACTATTTTGATTTTCCAGGGCTAAACCATCCTTGCATTTCTAGAATAAGATCAACTCAGTTGTATTTGTTTCCTGTTGCTTCTGTAACAAATCCCCAAATACATAGTGGCTTAAAATACCACACCTTTATTATCTCCCAATTCTTGAGGTCTGAAGTCCAGGGTGGGTCTGTAAGCTAAACTGAGGTATTGGCAGAGCTGCATTTCTTCTGCAGGCTCTAGGGGAGCCTTTTCCTAGCCTTTTCCTGCTTCTAGAGGCTAGTCACATTCCTTGGCTGGTGGTCTCTTCCTCTATCTTCAAAGGCCATCATGCCAATCCAGGGTCACATCTTGTCTCTGACTCTGACCCTCCTGCCTTCCTCTCATGAGGACTCTGGTGATTACATTGAGCTCATAGGATAATCCAGGATAATCTGCCCATGTCAGGGGCCTTATTTTCAGTCAACTTTGCAAAGTCCCTTTGCCATGTAAGATGACATATTCACAGGTTTTGAGGATTAGGATATAAACATCTTTGGGAGCCATTATATTGTCTACCACATTGGTTATAATGTATTTTCCTTTTTATATATTGTTTGGTGCAATATTTTATTTAGAATTTTTGTATCTGTGTTCATAAGTGAGATTGGCTAAATTTTCTCTTCTGAAACTATCTTCATTGGCTTTCAGTATCAGAGTTAGGCTAGCCTTATAAATGAATTTGAGGGTATACCATTTTTTTTTTATTCTCCAAAGAGGTTGTATACAGTAAGCATTATTTTTTTCCTTAGCTATTTATGGGAAATTTTTTTAGGTTTATTTATTTATTTTGAAAGAGAAAGAGAGAGGGGGAGGGAGGGAGGAGCAGAGAGAAAGGAGAGAGAGAATCCCAAGCTGGCTCTGCGCTATCTGCACAGAGCTGGACCTGGGGCTTGAACTCATGAAATGTGAGGTCATGACCTGAGCCGAAATTAAGAGTCGGTTGCTTACCTGACTGAGCCACCCAGGCGCCCTGATAGGAGGTTTTTTTAAGTACTGATAAAACTTATTTAAAAATCACAGGACTTAAAATTTCTATTTGTTCCTTGAACAATTTTCAGAAAGGTGTATTTTTCTAGTAATATATTCATCTAGCTTTTCACATTTTAAGCATAAATTATTCATAAAACCCTCTTTTTTTTTTTTAAGTTTATTTATTCATTTTGAGTGAGAGAACAAGCAGGGGGAAAGAGGATTCAAAACAGGCTTCTGTGCTAACAGCTGAGACCCCAGCTCAGGGCCCGAACTCAAAAGCTATGAGATCATGACCTGAGCTGAAGTCAGATACTT